TAAATGAACAGGACAGGCAGACTAGAAGTGCTCTAACAGCCTTTAAGATGGGCCCACAAGACTAAAATAATACCAGTATTGTTTCAATCACTCTTTTGTCAAAAACCTCACACTCACGATCCAGAAGTTTTCTTACCAAGAAGTGACGAGCATTGGAGGAAGCCCATTCCCCACAGATCACACTAGTATTAACACAAAACAGAGTAGAACATCATGAAAAGTCCCAGACAGATACAAAGTCTTTTGCTTTGTGCAAATCAGAAATGAAAACTGAATAAAAGTCATGATGTCACCCTTCTCTTAACAACAACAACACAAAAATCTTAACATGTTTCTATCCAGCAAGATTTGGCAGATATGGTCTTATGGCACTGAGAATTTGAAACTCATCCTCCTAGCTTTCCAAAGCCATACCTTGCAATAAATCTTGCTAGTTGTGTGGCCTCATCTTTGGCCAAGAGACTGGAGAAGCTCTGGGTGGTGAATGTGTTGCCAGTGAAATGTTTGTGTTGTTTTTGTAGAAAACTCCAGAAGAGGAGCCAAAGCCAGAAACCCCCCCTGCTGAAACTTTAGCCCCAAAAGATTCTCCTAGCTCCTTGAAGATCAGGCCTGCCTCCCAGCCTTTTGTGAGTCCAGCCATGAATAAAGAGTCTGAAGAAAGTGAGATGTGGATAGACAGGTTCAGGAAGCTGGAAAATGCCCTCTACCTGTGTGATCTGAGTAATACAGGTGAAGTATGAAGTTTAAAGCTGACATACCTTTCTATTTGTGTTCAAGTCTAAAAGTAGGCACTTTGTTTTCTTTCACTTCTTGAATAAATGATACAATTTATATATAAACCTGTGATAAGCACAATCAGGAAATACAAAGATAAATCAGACACACAATCCCTGCCAGGTTGCTTACAATCTCCTTAGATCCCCAATTTTTCCTCCACTCCATTACCAAAGTCTAACCCACAATCCAATCTTATAATTTCCCCAATTAAAATACTTGGGGGGCTCCTGACTGCTAACAGGATGAAGTCCCAACTCCTTAGCAAGGTAAAAATCTTGTCACTTCCACCTGACTAATGTCTTCTCCTACTATTGCTATTCTCTCTGCGTGTCCCACCCACTCATAACGAATTACTTGCCTTCCCTCAAAAACACCTTGCTTTCTCGTGTGCCTGTGACTTTTCTAACCCCAAGCTTTCCATCTGAGCTGTCTGCCTCTCCTCTTCCTACCCCACCTCCTGCCAGTTCCCCATCTTCTCCACCTGGCTAATTAATGCCTAAACATCTTTTACATTAGAATCCAAACACTACTCCTCTGAGACTCTCCAAACAGATCTAAGCCAACTTTCTTCTGGCCTCTCTGATTCTTTAACATTCATTGTCATATTTAATATATTATATATTTTTATTTGGGGGCTTATTACTATTTCACCAGTAGACTGTATTCCTTTTTTATCCCTGGAAACTTGCATAATTCTGTTCAACATTTTTTGAGGGAAGAAATAAATGAACCAATGTACATAAATAACTACGTCCAAGACAGAAGGTGAAAAATGCAGTTAGAGTGTGATGCTATGTAGGCATTCAGGGAAAGGAGAATTTCTTCCTGGTGAGGTGATCGGGGAAGTCTATGTTAATGTTAAATTGATCACTAAACATCAAATGCAGTTTGGACTCAAAGGAATAAAATAGTGATTTTTGGCAAAGGTGCAAATACTATGTGTGAAGTTCAATGCAAGTTCAGTTTGGATAAGATATAGAGACTATTGAAAAGAATATGAAATGATAAAGATAGAAATATAGAATGGGGGCAGATATTGAAAGGTTTTAAATGCCAGCCCAAAGAATTTGGACTTAATTCAACGATAGCGAGTGGCACTAAGAGTTTGTAAGCAGAGGAGTGGTATGATGAGGTTGCACTTCAGAAAGCTCTTTGGTGACTATGTGCAGAATGAAGGAGAAAGTGAAATAAGAGAAAGCAGAAAGGAGAGAGAATGATGTCTAGAAACAGATAAGAGACACGGAGAATGGAAAACAGGGAGCAAGATACAAAAGCCTGGACTGAAATTGTCCTAACTCACACAGTGTGGTTCATGAAGAGTTAGTGCACACATTGATACTCTCTAGAAGTAATCATGTAACAGTAGCAATGTCTGTCTTTTCATTCTGTTGGTGTGCTTTTGTTATTCTTTTTATTTCTTTTGTTTTGAATTTCCAAAGCAACTTAATTCTAGATCACATGAAGTATAACTACCATACAAAATCCAAGATAATTATACCAAAGAGAGAGGGGGAAAAAAAACCTGAAAACATTAGATGAATGATTCATCTGGCTGAATTATAAAGTTACTTAAATTAAAAATCTGTTATGAGCCTAGCACCGTGTTAGAGGCTGGACCAGTAGAAAAACCAGAAAGGATGAAAGGTGGTCTCTCTGGCCTCAAAGAACTTACTTTTAAGTAAGACACAGACTGGTGAGAGTTCAATGCCAGTTTAAAAAAAAAAATTAGAAGACAGTGTGTAGTAAAGTATTATCATTGAAGGCACAAATAAGAGTTAAAGAGTCAAAAGGAAAGAGAGAAGGGGTGAAAGGAAGCTCACCTTCTAATGTGAACTGCGGTACCCAGAGTGGGCTCATGGGAGAGAGAGCTTAAACTGAGACGTGAGGTCAGGTAGACTTTGGATCGTTTGAAACCATCTTCTGCAAAGGTTAGAAGGTGAGAATGAGTATGATGCAGAAGAGAGAGAGAAAGACAGGCCTGGAGGTTCAAGCTGGGTGCATGATAAAGTTGGACTCTGCTGTGAATCCTGGGGACTAAAATGAGGCTTCATTCTCCGCCCAGTATTCGCCAAAGTTTCATCCAGAAGACAACACAGCGAAAGCTGAGATGGATACTTTAGGGAGGATTCTGGGGAAAGGGAAATTAACAGGTTATTGAAATAACTCTGAGTCTAGGTGTTTATACCAGGACTGTGAGAGTGATGGTGGGGTGACAAACAAAAACAAGGCAAAATTTTTAAAAAAACCAAAAAACCAAGAAAAGACATTTCTAAAGAAACACACTGAGTTTCGATGATAGATGATGGACCATAAACTTAGTTGCTAAGAGATTCCCCAAAGACTGGGACCTTTCTCATACTTCTGAACTGTTCTGAGTCAAAACAGAGTTTGTTGACTTTGGAGGCAGATTCTGACGGATCTGAAATGCCTTTCTCATGGCCTCTTCACTATTTATGTCTGTTTTCTCTGTTTCTATGAAATTCATTCGTTCCTCAACAGCCAAGGAATGTGTCAGCCAGATCTGAAAACATCTACAACTGTCTTTAATAAGGAAAGAGGACTAAGTGAGGTCACTTGGTTGGTTTATTAACCACGGTATTTAGCAGACCACCACGGCCCCATTCTAGATGCTGAGCAGATGATACCTACTTTGCCCAGGATGAATCACTGTTCTTTATTATGTGCGAGGAAATATGTAGGCCAGGGTGTTCTTCATCCAGGATGAGGGCAGACCATCCATCATCAAATCAGCATTTCTGGGAACCTACTGTGCTTATTCTCTAATGGGGGTTGTCAAGAAAATAGCCTTGAGGAGAAGGGAGAAGGAATGACCATGAATAAGTGGTCATGTTTTCTAAAGAAAAAAGTGTGGTTGAGATAAATGTCTGGGCAAATGATGCATTTGGAATTTTCCCAGTGAACTAAAAGCTAAATAGAAAATATTTCAGAGTTCAAGGAGGCAGAATGCAATGAGAGCCTTAAAGGACATTCTCTGTACAGGCCTCGACTACGTACACTGCATCGCTAAATTGTCACGTCAACCACGTGCAGAAGGGATTAGTATCCTTATTTACAGAAAGGAAAGCCAAGCTCAAAGTGATAAAATAATAACCAGTAGGAAGTTAAGCCATAATTCAAACCCAGCTCTATTTGACTTCCCACCACACCAAGTCTTATGACATACTAGAAAGAGCACAGGTTTTGCTTGTTTTGTTTTTTTTAATCAGAAGATATCGATTCAAGTCCAGACTCCACCAATTACTGGTCCCTAAAAGCCAGTCACTCACATTCTCTGAGCCTATCTCCTCATTTATAAAGCAAAACTGATAGTAATAAAACATACCTCCCAGATGTGAAAAAGGATCACATGAGGTAAGAGATTTGAAAGTTCTTTGTAACCCTGTAAAATGATGTGGATGTTAAACGTGTTCTTATTATTTCATTTATTTGGGTTCTGGTTGGAAAAGACAGTCTTTCCAATGCTGAGATGGATTGTCAGGCTTGTTTTATGCAGCTGTTCCGGGCACCCCCTAATGACAGAGTAAATTGGACAGATACAAACTTCAGTCAGTGGACTTTTGTTTGACTCTAGGAATCCTCTATCAATGGTAAAGCTTAAAAGATAGAAAATACCACTGTGATTCCTAGATGTACTATTTAAGATTACTTTTAATTTTTAATTATATACTAAATAGTATATATTTCAATAACTTCTAATTTTATTAAACTATGTTCTTATATAATATTTAAATAATGATGATATGATTGTTATAATTATCCTATAGTAATACTTGGCATTAATGAATGCCTATAGTACTGGATACTGTGTGCACTGAATATTTTATTTATTTTTACACAATTTAATCTTCCCTATTTTACGTATTTATTTAGAGACAGGGTCTCACTATGTTGCCCAGGCTGGAGTGCAGTGGCTATTCACAGGCACGATCATGGTGCACTGCAGCCTCGAACTGCTGGGCCCAGGCAATTCTCCTGCCTCAGCTTCTTGAGTAGCTGGGACTGCAGATGCCTGCCACCATGCCCAGCTAATGATCCCTATTTTAAAGTTGAGGAAACTGAGTCTCGAAAGTTAAAGTAACTTCCATAAAGTCTCAGAGTCAGAAACTTGCTCCAAAGTCCATGACACATGTTTCCAGAAGCAGGATTGGGGAAATGTCCAGAGGAAACAGGCCTAGGCAAAACTGAAAACAGCCACCCAATCCACAGATCTTCAAAGACGCAACTGGCCAACTCGAAGTATGAAGTTTATAGGGAAGAAAAGAGCGACATTCTAATAAGCAAGATAGATAATAAATAGGCAATAAGCAAACAGGAATAGGCTAGAAAACAAACTGGAATAGAATAGAATAGATCACATTAAGACCCTATCTGTCTATAGGCCACTGTTAAGAATACCCATTAGAGAGCAGTTCAGAGGGGACCTGGTGCTCAAAAGCCCTTGCACATGCGAATCAGAGTAGTACTTACTGGCTTGAACTGAGATGACAGGCATCCACCACTGCCCAACTCTAATGGGCTAGTAGTGGCTTTCCACAAAATGACCAAGGCACTGCCTCTGGATTCTTTGAGAAAGTATTTTAATGTCACTCTTACAGTCTGCACAGGTAAAGAAGAGTAAAAGAGCAACATATAAGAGATGTATCTTGTCCCTATAAAAGATATTTAAAAGCTTTCCATTGTCACCTGTAGCTTAGATCTTCACAATTCAAGGAACATATGTAGGAAATACTATGATTCCTGCTTGAAGCAATCTCTTTCCCCTTGTTCCATAATGTAATGTAGTGGTAAACCTTAAGCAACCAAGAGACTTACCATCTCTGGCCTCAGTTTCTCCCTCTGTGAAATGGGTCGTTGTGAGGATTAAATGAGTTAATATTGGTAAAATTCTTGGGACATAGTACATTTTATATATAAATGTCAGTCATAATATTTATTATTGTTGTACTTTGGTTAATTTTCTGCATAACTTGTCTCCCCAGTTGGTCTGGGAGCTTCTGGAGGTAACAGATCCATTCTCTAAATTATCTATATTCCCAAGCACAGTATCTGATACAGATAGACTCACAATCAGGGGCTTGTGAATGAGTTATTAATCTTTGATGATGCCGTGATTTATACTGAAACTCCTCTCAGCAACTATCAAAATCTACTCAATCTTACTGCAGAAAGCATACCAACGTTGGTATTGGCATATATACCACATGGGTACCAGAATATATCCCATAATCATGTGCATCACCATCTCTATTAAGTGAGTTTGGATCTGAGCTATGAGAAGTTAAATGATCTACCTGTGATCACACGGCAAGTTGGGGAGAGTCACAGCACAGTCTGCCCTCTGTATTCACGTATTCCGCATCAGCAGATTCAACCAACCAAACTTCAAAAATACTCGAAAAAAATAAAAATTAAAAATAACAATACAACAATAAAAATGCAAATAAAAAACAGTATAACAACTATTTGCATAGTATTTACATTGGATTAGGTATGTAAGTAATCTAGAGATGATCTAAAGCTATGGTCCCCAACCCCCGGGCTATGGACTGGTCCTGGTCCATGGCCTATTAGGAACCAGGCTGCACAGCAGGAGGACAGCAGCGGGCAAGGGAGCAAAGCTTCATCTGTATTTACAGCTGCTCCTCATCACTCGCATCACTGCATAAGCTCCACCTCCTGTCAGATCAGGGGTGGCATTAGATTCTCACAGGAGCACAAACCCTACTGTAAACTGCGCATGCGAGGGATCCAGGTTGCACACTCCTTATGAGGATCTAATTAATGCCTGATGATCTGAGGTGGAGCTGAGACGGCTATGCTAGCCCTGAGGAGTGGCTACAAGTGCAGAGTATCAGTAGCAGAGAGGTATAAATGTAATGTGCTTGAATCATCCCAAAATCATCCACTGACCCACCCCCCACCCCCACTGGTCCATAGAAAAATTGTCTTCCGTGAAACTGGTCCCTAGTGCCAAAAAGATTGGGGACTGCTAATTTAAAGTATATGGGAGGATACGCATAGATTATATGCAAATACTATGCCATTTTATATTAGAGACTTGAGCATCTGTAGATTTTGGTATCCATGGGGGTCCTGGACCGAATCCCATGGATACCAAGAAAGGTCTATAAATACATTTCCAGAAATGCATTAAAAAATAAGCTGTTTAAATGCTGCATGTTTAGGAACCTGTTTGGATACTTCAACAAGATATAAAGAAACTAGAACAATTAGGAATTACTTTTAGCAGGCACTCTAGCTATTTCAAAAATTGGCCCTAAAAGTTTTATAGCTACAAAGAACAAGCTTAAATTGCTTTAGAGTGTATCTATGGATTTGATTGCATTCCATCTCCCATCTCATTCTCTCTCCCTCTAATCAACTTCAAATTACTCCTGAAATCTATGACGCTCCAGGACTGCAAATATTTTTTAAGGTGTCACCTGATTTTTAAGAAGGTTGAAGTTGCAAAATATTATCATAGCATTTAGTTTCTACCTGGAAGGCATACAAGCTAACATAGTTTTCTCTGTTTTCCCCTTCCTCTTTAAAAAAACCTTCCACCCACCCCAACCAATCACAGGAGTCCTGGAGAAGGACCGAGCTAGACGCCTCATTCACAACTACAATCTCATTTACAACCTGTCCCTGAGCCCTCGGAAAATCGACCAGGCCTTGCGGAGATTTCGTTCAGGAGAAAATATGCTCTTGGAGCCAGCACTGCAGTACTTAAAGGAGCTATGATAACAAGCCCAGATTGTGAGAACAGATGTTTCCCTTATCTCCCTTTTTACCCAGACACGTGTTTCTCCCCAGCCCGAGTGTAGTGGTGGAGGCATTGTCAGAGTTGAGGCCACTGCAGCTATTATAGATGCGTTTGATTTGGACTTGGTTTCTGGCTATAATGCTTGCTCATAAGTAGCTCAAAACGATCAGGGAAAACTAGGTTTTCTCTTCTGATGTGGCAAAAACCCAGATACTTAAAATCTCCCTTTATTCCAATAAAGCTTATTATTAATGTTACATGTTTGATTTTTTTTTTCTACCTTGTTAATCAAACCATGTTTTTGCAAACCCCGCAATTCCATGTAGTAAAAAACATGTTAAATGTTGTCAACTCCCCCAAGTGCCTGGTACATAGTAGACCTAAATACATCATTTTTGGATGATTTCATCCCTTCCCCTAGTCACTATTCTAGGAAGGATTTTCACATTATAAGAAAAATAAAGGTATTAACAATACATTATCTTAATATTAAGCAGTAGGAGAACAATTTCAAGTGAGGCTTTCTGAATAAGTCCAATATTTTCTGCAGTACAAAACTAGACAGTGTTACACTGTCTCTAGGGATATTTTCTAAGCGTTCTGAATAGAAGTTTTAAGAAAGGACTCCTAGGACTGAGGATTTGGGGAATAGGAAACATCTTCTGCTCTCTGTGGGCAGGGAAACCAGGTGAAACTTTTCACCAGTTCCCACAGCTCTTCTGTCCTTAACATCCCCCGGACTTTGCGCCTCCCACACAACACACAGTCGCACACACACCACAGCACGCAGGTAGCATGAGCTCAGCGAAGGAGCACTAGCCTGGGGCTTCAGAGACAAGGTGTCCCCAGTGCCATCACTAAGCAGGATACTGGCTGCTGACCAGGACATTAATTGTCAAATCAGTGCGGGAGACAGGGTGAGCCAGTTAGGTCAAGGGGAAAATCAAACAGAAAGGCTCCTGAGCACCCCTTTTTACCCATTTTATATAGTGGGGTATCTCATGAAGTCTTAGGAACAAAACCTCTAGAGCAAAATCATTTGGATCCACTAAATGCTCTCTGAGAGTCTTCTAGTCTGACATGCTTTCATGTTTATAATTCCTGAGTTGCCCAGGAAAAAAATGACTTGAGGCAGACTGACCACCTCTCTATCTTTCTAGAACCTTGCTAGCTGCCTTTTTAAGTCAGAGGAGTAAGCAAGCAGACAAGGCTTTCTCATTCTACCAAAATGCCAAGTAAGGAAAATTAGAATATTAGGTCAATTTAATATGCATGGGGCAATGACTGTGTTCCAGGAAGTTGACATTTTACAGCTCCATTTGACAGATAAGGAAACAGAGGCTCAGAGAAGAGAAGGGTAAGAAACTATTAACTGGTTGCGCCAGTTAATAATTTGCCAGAGCGATAGTACTTCCTGGGAGGCACTGGTCAAATGAGACTTCCAAGGTCCAGCTATACCCCTCCTCTCTGTGGGAAGTGGGCTGGAGAGGCAGTTCGGGTAAAGCAAGGCCCTAAGCCTGAAGCAGGGTAATTAGATTAAATCAGAAGCTTCTGAATAGCAGTGATTTTGCCTTGCCCAATTCTTAAAATCCCACATCTATTTCCTGACACAAAGCCTCAGTACCACCAACGTAACAAATGGAGGGGACTCCATTTACCTAGATTGCAGCATGCAAGGTGCCCTGAAGTTGTGTGACTACAGGTCAAGCAGAACCTGCACTCCTACAGTGTCGGCTCAATGAATAATTCTATACGTGGGGTAACCTTGGCCAGATCTGGATCTACGGTCATCCCACCACCATCCCACCCACATTTCCACAGAGAATAGAAAAATGATAAGCTTTAAAACAGCCCAAATCCAGCTTTTGCACTTAAGAGGTGGTAGCTTTGACAAATTGCTTAATCTCCCTGGGCTTCAGTTTCTTCATCTATAAAATGGAAGTTATTGCACCTGTTTGCAGGAGTGTTATAAACACTGAATGCAATGCCATTTGGACAGTTCCTTCCATGTAGTAGAGATGTACCTTTTCTATGGCCCTTCCCTTAGCTGATGAACATTCCGGAAGTCTAAAAAAAAAGACTTTGAACAATGATCTGCGTGAAATGGCATAGGGAGGTCAGGCTACTGCTATAGCAAGGACAAATTTTGAGATGTATCTTCCTTCTGGAACCAAGAAACAATTGCTCTTGAATAATCTGCTGTCAGGAATTCTGCAGTGCTTTACCCCAAGATGTGCGTGTGTGTGTGTGTGTGTGTGTGTGTGTGTGTGTGTGTGTTTTAAATAAAAAATTATTCTAATTTTTGTTAAAATGGTAAGGCAGACTTTATTCAGAACTATCACAGTAGCTGTAGTGGGGCTACTACAATGCAGTTTTGCAATAGGGGAGATTGATTGGATATGGGGCTCAGCTCTAAATACAAAGAAGGAAAGTGGGAATTTACAGTCAAGGAGCAGTGGGGAGAGGTGCCAGTGGATGGAAAATCACTAAGAAGAAGCATCAGAAGTAAGGGGGTATTCTGGCCAAATTAACCTAATAAGATTCCTGCTGAAGGCAGCCGGGTGCTCAGACATCACCTGGGGTAATGGGATTTGATCAGATATCAAGGGTAGGGGATTCTGGCTAAACCGACTTAGCAGGATTCTTGCTAAAATTGGGCTCTTGAAGACATGCCCAGAAATGGAGCCTCATTGAAAAAGAGCTCAGAGGGGCCTGATTAGTGTTTGGTCCAGGAGAGAATGTGTGTGTGTGTGTGTGTGTGTGTGTGTATGTGTGTGTGTGTCTGTGTCTGTGTGAGTGTGTGTTCCTTTGCAAGACTCGAACATTGCTAAAGTTAATATAGAATATTAATACTCATTGGTTTTTCTCTAAGTAAACACTAAAAGAACCAAAATTCAACTTAAGTCATAGAGAAAAGCTTAGATATCAAGGTGCCGACGTGATAGCAGAGGTTAAATGAGGCCTGAACATGAGGCCTGCCAGTGGACACAACAGGAAAATGCCAGGCAGTCATTATGTTTCAGAATATTGCTATGATCTCTATGCCGGAACTTCATGATTTGCTTGTAGAAAATCTGTTACTCGTCTCTCTCTTTTCTCAGATCTGTGGCATTTTGTATAAGCCCCGTGGCTGTGTCTTTCTGAAATTTTAATAAACACTGGATAGGGAAGGTCTGGTCACCTGTGGCCTCTAGATCCCATGTGGCCCTCTAGATCCCCAAGCGGGGCCCCTCGACCAAATGCAAACTCCACAGAACGAATCCCTTTATTAAAAGAATTTGTTCCGTAAAATTTGGATTCAGCCAAAAGGCTGCACTCAAGGATCCGGAAGGCCACAGGTTCCCACCCCTGGCTCTTGGGTCTGTGGTCTTGAGCAGTTTCCTCCAGCAGAACCTTTATAAATGGATGTCTGCAGGCAATGGACTAGTTGGCCCACAGTATGCTCTGGAGAGACTCGGTGTAAGCCCCAACTCTTCAAGAGCCTCAGCCTTCAAAGGTGGAAAGAATGATAGGGGCAGGATTTCCCCAGCTGGGCAGACTTTCCCAGCTACGTACCCTGAACAATACACTGCCTACCCGAGAGCGTCTTCCATATTAAATGAAATAAGTGTGCAAATTGCTTAGCACTCTGCCTGGCACATAGACAAGCTCCACAAGGGGAAACTAGCTTATTTTAGTTTGATACAGTATTTCTTTTTACCCCATTCAATGGGCCAAATTGTTGAGTGCCTTTTCCAGGTAGAGACATCTAGGCTCACTGACTGTGTGGTCCTGGAGGGCAGAGAGAATGTGGTCCACATTCCTGGTACTCATGCTCTGGCCTGCACTTACTCCTCACAGTAAACCAACTAGCTTGACATTACTCTGCCCATTATACACATAGGAAACTGAGGTTCAGGGTAGCATAAGTACTTACCTAAGGACTTAACAGCTAGTGAGTGATTGAGCCAGGATTAGAACACAGTTGTGCATAACTCCAAGTTCAACAATGCTGTGTAGGTTACAGTTAGAGCAAATAACCCATAGAATTCTCTTCACCATGTGTGGCCTGTCTCCCCAGCAAGTCTGAAGGTAACTGCAAGCTGGGGCCAAGATCATCCTGTCTTTGTGTCCAGCACAGAGCCCAGCTGCACCTGGCAAACGTCTGCTGAATGGAGTTCCCATGTGATCATTTTGAAAACCCAGCAGCTTTCTGGCATCTTCTCACTCTCCAGCTTCCTCACTGCCTTCTGGGGACTGGAATAAAGGGGGTTTTCAGGCCTCTTTGGCGTGGTACATTCACATTTCCAGAAGCACAACTGTGGAGATGGTGCAAAGAGTTTGCTAAGTGTTCGCTGACTCTTCAGAGGAATTTCCCAAGATCATTAAGAGAAACAATAACGGAGGGTTTGATATTCTAATTGGGATCAGAAATTGGACAGCTTTGGAGCTGGCCAGAGAACTGCGAAGCTCTAAAAGCCAATACTCTCCTTTCTTCTCTCCCTCTTCTCGCTCCCCGTTCTTGTGAGAGCCTTTCAGCTACAGTTCCAACGCTCCTTAGCAACAAAGGCGGGGTTCCCAGAGCCAAGCACGCCTCGGGAATGCCAGATGCCCCCTCATTAGCATTCAGGGGCCCTCATCTGCCTGCACAGTTGGCCACGGGACTGCGCAAAAGGCAAAGTGGCATGAGGGAGCCCAGCCTTAAGCATGGTTTGTTGGGAAACGGGAAGCCTCCACAAAGAGTTTCCAAACAAAAGGCATCAATATTATTTGTGGAGCCATCAGACTGCCTGGGGTGCAAGATGGCTTTGGCTCAGCCGCATGCTCTCTCCGTAGGTTCCGCGTGAAGGCTTGGTGGGGCCTCCCCACACACATCCTGGCCAAGAATCCTAGCATATTGTAACCTCCTCCTGCCTGTCTCCCCCTTGGCTCTCCTCAGACTCGGTTTATCCAGGTTGGACAATGGGTGGATTCCAACTGGCAGTGGCGGTGCCCAGCGGTAAGATAACCGAGAACAGGTGGTGCTGCTAGGAATGGATTCCAGACAAATTCACAAGCAGATTGAGCTCTGACAAAGGCTGACGGAGATTTATCTGGTGAAGAGCAGTTGGAGCTTGAACCAAGCGCTTGCTCAAAACATATACCTCACTCTCCCACACTACCTTCTATGGCTACATGAGGGAGGCAACTAGCCAGGTTCCGTCTCACTGAAACCCCAAAATACTTTTCAATAGACCAATCCCTGGAAGATTACAACCAGCAAAGCCATCTCTCAACA